AAACAAAAGGTGATGATAACAGTAACTTTACTTAACTAATAACTAAAATCGAGGGGTGTTAGATCTGGTTACTTTCCGGGACTTTACAATGTGGGAATTTTCAATGGATCAGTAGTGTTCGTTGCGTCTGTTTGGCAAACCATTACGCCGGTTACACACTGGGCGATTTTTACCGCGGCGGTAAATTAACCGTCGCCGTCGTTCTGCTAGTGGCGCGAAGAAACAAATGGGAGTTTACACATTGGGCGGTAAAAATACCGCGCGGAAGATTTGCCACAGATGGCAGCTGTGCAGCCGTCGACTGCCACTGGCGTGGGCGGCAGTTTTGCCGCCGCTCTATAGACAGTGGCGCATGCGAATATATCGCCGCTTTCACATTGAGCGGATTTTTACCGCGTGAACAGTTCAATCTGTGTTGAAGTTATTTGTTTTTTATATTGAATATAGTTGAAAAATCACAACATGAGTGAAGTAGGGATCGATAACGATCTTCTGATTTCGTCGATTGAAGCGAGACCAGTGTTATGGGATAAAACGTTGGACATTTTTGGTTGATTTCATGAATCCAAATTAAACGATTTTTTCTTTTCTTATTCCACCAGCGACGAAAAAGTAATAAAGCAATAACTTGTTGCCGGTTCATTTATATTTTTCAAAATAACTATTTAAATTTTAATCACAATAATTAAGCGCAAATAAAATACGTGAACAAAACATCTCAGGGAAGTAAAACAAAGGTGCAGAGTCACGTACGACAAGTGATGTCTGTTGTTGTTAAGCGGCACTTGTACCGTTAATAAGCAGCGGCACTTTTACCGCTGAATGTGTAAACATTTCAAATTTTGTAGGCGGCGACGGCAAATTTACCGCCGCGGTAAAAATCGCCCAGTGTGTAACCGGCCTTACTGACAAACCAACTTTCGTCCGTCCAAAGAACGTGCCGAAAAAGGTTCTGATCAACAGTTTCTACATTTACTACAATTTGAGCTATAAAATTAAGTCTGTTTTCAATGTGACGCTCAGGCAAATACTACAAATTGTGAATTTTGTAGTCATGATACCCACTGGTCTTTAAAATTCGTTGAACGGCTGATTTATCCAAATCCAATTCCCGGCTAGCCTTCTGTATAGAATTTCGTGAATTTTGTTCGAAATACTGTAACAGTCTAGCTGTATTAACATTGTTTCTTACCATTCGGTCAATTATTTGACTTTTCCGAACAGAAAATGCATGTTCATTTCGTTGCAAGGTCGCCTCCAATCTTGTAAAGGTTCTATGATCAGGAATGAGGCGCTCTGGATACCTTCCTCGATATAACTCTACAGCTCTTCTTGAATTTTTTTGTGATTCGACATAAATTAGCCAACATACCAACTTTTTCTGAATAAGAAAACAATTTGTAAGCACAAAAGTTATACGTCTGACGTTCGTATTGAGTAATGACAAGTATTTTGTGACATTTATACACTTTAAACAACGAACATTCAATTATTTTTCAACGACTACTTGATCCTTCCACCGCTAATAAGATTTTTGGTGGTATTTCTTTTGAGACTATTTAGGACGATACCTAGTGCTTATAACTTTTAAACGGAAAAAAATTCTCTAATAAAAGTTTATTAGAAAAAAGAGAGCTTTTTAACAGGAGAAAAATTTGAGTAAGTTTTTTGAAAAAATATAATTGATGACGTCATTAGTCGTTTCTGTCAAATCCCAAAGATAATATTTTCTATTGAAAATGGAGCTTACCTCATCCCATTTAACACCACTTGTCCCAAATTTTATTTAAATTTTTTGTATCCCCACAGTAGACCCATACTATCGAGTTTGAGACACCGTGTATATATCTACAAGAAAGTGTTCATCGATGTGCCATTATTATCTTGGGATTTGAAAGATTCAACTCCTTCGATTTTCATTTAAAACAATAAACTGAAAATTAAAATTTTTACTCCTATAATTTCTAAATGAAAAAAGATAAACGAGCTCCGCATAGTGCGGTTCGAAAAACGGGCACGCGATGCATTTATTTTTTATGTTTTGTATTGTATTTTTAATAAATGTAAGGAGTTGGTATTTTAAATTTGTTCAATTAAAACTGTCAGGGAAATTAAATTATTATGACTATTTTCATCAATTTAATCATCTGTCTGCTAGCACTGTAACAAGGCGGCTGTTTCAGTACTATTTAGTAATGTTCTTTAAGAGATCTGATTTTACTTTCATTGAGAAGAGACATCAACACAAAACAAATAAAATGATAAACAATCAGAATGAGAAATACTGATTTGGTTTCTTTCTGATGTGATGCATGATAAAACATATATTAAGTTATTCATAATTTATTTATACTCAATTCTGTGAATCTGTGATTAAATCAATCGTACCCACTTCCGGTCATGAACGTAGCACTCCAAACGACTACGTGGGAAAACAACTGATAAATTTGAATAATAATTTTAAATGCACTTGAGACACCAACCAACGGTGGCTGTAAAATATGTTTTCCAGTTTATAATTACCTGGTTACGTATATATATCGTATAAAAGTTTCGAGATGGATATCTTCTGCTAGCTAAATGAACTTATTTATTAGCTATTAATTTGAATAAGTACGGTTTTTCTTTAATTTTATACGTAATATTATGTTAATACATCCTCGTAGTCTGAAATTGAGTAATGGCCATTAGTATAAAATCATCGTAAGAAAAACGATTTAAGTGTTGTTTGTTAAGTTTAATTATTATTATAATTGCGTTAATTTTTAATTTTTTCTCGGTGGCATATTATTCAGTAGCTACTGAGAGGTTTTTTTTATTTAATCTCCATTAATTACTAAGAAGCTACTGGTTTCTAATATAATCATGGAAAACTGCAAACGACTCACAAAAATATCTACCTGTAACTACCTTCATTATTTTACACTGTAAATGTAATTCGAGTAGTTCGAGATTTCATCATTTTTTAGTTATATCTCAACCACTTCAAGTGCTGTAGTTGAGAATGCACCTTTATAGATGTTACCACAAAATGAAATAATGTGGCAGAAAACTTAATTCGCATTAGTTTATTTTTGCTTAAAATCATTCAACTGAAAATTATAGCATTGTAACGAATTTGGCGGGCAGCTGTGATGTTCTGAGACTATGCTTTAATCGCGCCATCTGTTAATAGGAAGCTCAACTAAAATCTCATACCACTGTCCTTCTTTTATTTAGTAATAACCTTGATTATATTCACTCAGTCAAGGGTAATAGGGAGATAGAGAGAATTTGCATAAATAATAAGTTTTCTGTAATAACATTTATTCAAATATCTTTAAAGATTGACGTAGATAAATGAAGCTTAGGCTAATAATTTATCTAACTAATTGCAAATATTCATTTAAGTGGTTTGTAAATACAGTCACTAGTGGCTGTACTGAGGATCCTTAAGATAAGATCACAGGATTTCGCCGCCGATTTTCGAAATCGATAACTGCATTTAATTGACAAGGGTATTTTTAAAAAAGCACTGTCATCTACTTTAATCAAAAAAAAAAATATAATTTTTTAATTATTTTTATAATTTAATATTAGCTTAGGTTAAATGCTTTTTCATAGAAAGATATACGGATTTAATGAAAATATTTATTTTAATTTCAGTTCCAATTTGTTAAAAATACACATATTTCATTTATTATAGTTACAAAACATAGAAGAAAATGCTTTAATTTATAGTAAATACAGGGTGATTCAGAACTTATCCCGAAAAAAAAAATTGTAATGGGGACTATTACAAATACAATTTTGTAAAAATATATAAAAAAAGGGCAGTTCGAAATTGATTTAAAAATACACTTCTGCACGGCACTGGAAACTGGTCCACTGTAAAACCTGACCTGGCACAATGCGACCGGCATGGCGGTGTGATAAAAACGGACAAAAACTTTCACAAGGAAAGAAATAAATAGAATTTTATAGCACCTATTTTATATCGGCAAATTCAAATGCTTTATTAATTACTAATAAAATTAATTTGTGTTTTTAAATAATAAAATCATTTGACATACGCGTTGTTACAACAACAATTGTTCAAAATTTTATCCACTAACGTGTAAACACATTTGGTCCGTCTTACTCACTTTCTACGAACTAACACAAATGATGTCTTGCTTCACCATAACACAAATGCTTCACCATAATGCAAATGTTGTCTTGCTTCACCATAAATTAAAACGATATCAATCAACTCTAAGTTCCTATACACGCAAGCCATTTTTGACACTAACTACTAAAAAACTGATGTATATACCACAGATAACAGGTAAAAAATACCGCAACGACGGATTTCAGTATTAGGAGTCACATGGCTCTCCTCGCGTATTGCGAATGACGCTAGAGACTACAGTTGTCCAGCTATGTAGGGGTTGAATGTACTATAACTCCAATAATTTTTTTTTCGAAAACTATAAGGATTTTACAAGAATTTTTTTTACGTTATTAACTCCATTTCTCATGCCGCATCTATTCCCAAATTTTTTTGGATAAGTTGTGAATCACCCTGTATAAATTATTAAGACAAAACCATTTTTTATTTTTCATTTTGACATCCTGTATCATTTTTATTATGCGACTTGGGATATAGGTATGTTAGGTTAAATCGACTTATTTTCACCTAAGGTGTCTCTGGTATCATTTGTGCCCCTCTATTTTTAAATACACATTGTAGACTTACAAAAAAATCCGTTATAAACATATCCTGTAGGTACCCTAAGAAGGGTCATTTTCCTGTGAATGACAATTTCAAATATGTTTTCTTTAAAGTATTGTTATTTTATCGAATTGTACGATAGTTAAACCCAAAAATAAGTGAAACATATTTGGTGGTTGGTTTTTCATTTGTTATATCAAAACCGACGTTGCTCTTACAACTAAGAATACTCATTGATGTGATACATATTAATTTTAGATATCAGTTGTAAATAAAATGGAAATACAAAATCTGTTTTAAATTCCAGATTTATCCTGGACCCGTTTCGGATCGCTCCCTCTTCGATCGAAGGCGCGCCTGGGGAAGCAGAATGGGGTGGTGGCGGCCGCCAAGCACAAAGACATCGCCGTGTGGCTGCGAGAACTGGACCTGGAAGAGTACCAGGAGGCGTTTAAGAAGTTCCAGGGCGTGGAGGATTTACTCGAGTTCTCCGAAACGGATATTAAGGATTTGGGGGTGAAGAAGTCATCCCATCGGGCCAGGATTATCAGCAGCCTTACGTGCCTCCGCGCCAAGTATCATGGTCAGTATTACATTAGTTAGAAAGCGATAGATATACAGTGTGTTCTAATAAATTATACACCTTATGGTAAAGGAATACATATTTTGCATCAATTTCTCGGGAGTTGAAAAATTGGACACGTTCAAAACTGAAGTAGTTCTAATGTGAAAAATGCTGTATTTTTTTCTACTCATACCAATATAAATTTAACTTAAGGCGAAAATGGTATTTTGGGTTTAAACTCACTTTTGGTGTAAATTAAATTGTGGAAAAATTCCAATTTTGGCATATTCAAGTGGAAAACAATTTTTATTAAATGATTTTTGAGTTGATTTGCTTAAAAATAATGTTGTGAATAAAAGCAACTGTGATTTGTCAAATTTAATATGCCGAAAATGAGGTTGTCTTTTAAAATTTCGAAAAACGTCATAAGGGATAGTTGTTTGTATTTAAATTTTATGCTAACGTATACCGATTTTCAGAAACACTAATAAAATGTTTGTTTTTTACATTTTTTTTAATGACGTTTTATATTTTAGAGAATCTATAGAATTGTTTGTACAATTGTTAACTCTTAAAATAATTTTTTTGGCTAAATATTAATTTATAAAATTTATTTCAAAATCCAAGTTATCTTGTTAGATTTCTTACTCAAGTTAATAGATACATACATTATACAGGGTCGGAAAGTCCCCATGGTTCATCGGGGACGTAACGTGAGAGCGATAAAGAAAGTCATAGAAATCCGTGTGATAGAGAATGATGGCTATAATGAAGGCCTCTAATAGTCACCACCCATTTCGCCCTTCCACAAATAAGACCCACTTCTTATTTGTGGAAGGGCGAAATGGGCGGTGACCTTCATTATAGCCATCTTTCTCTATCGCACGGATTTCTATGACTTACTTTATCGCTCTCACGTAACGGCAGATGAACCATGGGGACTTTCCGACCCTGTATAACAATTTTTGAAAAATTTTAATTGTGTTAATATATAAGATCCTTTTTTAATTTTGACATACAGTGAACACTACACTAAGAACCGGGATATATAGCAGCTTTCTAGATATATTTGCTGAACCAATCACGATGTTCCAGTTGCCAATCCAAGGCCTACTTATTTTGTAGAAGCGAGTAAATTACTTTTTTTTTATTTAAAGTCTGGCAACATACCTTAATCAACATCACGTAGAAACCCTACATCTCGAGATTCATCGATTTATAAAGCAGAATTTTTTTATCAGGCTTTAATTTTTAAATGTAAAGCTTTTCGTTAGAGTTTCGAGTCGAAAGTGATTAAAGATGAAAAATTCGATAATTACTAATCCTGGTGATTATTATTGGCAAATAATAAAGCCTGCATATCTTATTTTCATAATTTTAAACAGGACATAATATTTTCACAATTTTAATAGGCTCAGAAGCAGTCTATTATTTAGGTTATAGTTAATAAGCACTATCCGTAATTGATTAATTTCTCATCCACAGGTATTTGCAATGCCTTCTAGACTTTTATGCTGAAACAAGGACTTAGAAAATTTTAATTTTAGAGGATAAAAATTATTCTGTGGATCTTAGTAAATACTTCAACGAGAGAATAGTCACTATATGTCAACCAAACAGGAAATCATTAAAATCTGCCTCCAAAAAGAATTTTATAGGGATGTTGTGTATGTGTCCACTAACATACCTAGAAATGCAAATGAGGTGTATTTTAGAATAAATTGTTAAAACGAGATAAACTTTATATTTTTTAAAACATTTGTCTATAACACTGGTTATAAAAACTCATTTAGACAATGACAAGTACAGTAAATAATACTATAAAAATTTGTTTGTTAAAAAAGGAGGAGTCTTTGACGTTTTCCGAAATTTTGTAAATTAACAGCATTTTCGACAATTTTTGAAAAATGTCTACTTATCTAGATAATTACTTTATTGTTTTTGTGCACGTCCTTTGCCATTATTTTTAGAGCCAAAATGATTGGCTTTGCCACTTTTTTTAAAATTTAATTAATAATAAAATGCGCCATATAACACATATACAGGGTGATTCATTAATAATGAGACAAAGCTTAAGGACATGTTGCTGACCTCAAAATAGAGCGATTAAGCCAAATATGCCTTATCCGAATGTTGCTCCTTTTCGATCTACAGGGTGTTAAAGTTGAAAAAATATTTTCGATCTTTTTAAATATCTTGAGCACCTTTGAACGGATTGTCTTGAAAGTTTGTACACCTATGTTTTCTGAGGTGGTAATTACGGAAATGGTAACTATTTTGCAATAACATCTAGGATGCGCTAGTTGTAGTGTTCCGTCGAGTAAACATATGTCAACCTTTTTTGTCCTTATAAAAATCTGAATTTCCAATAAGAAATTATTAAACTACGTTAAATTCTAAATAAAAAAGATATACCTGTTAAAAATCGATAAACTTTTCGAAATAAGAACGATTTACTATTCCTTTACAAAATTATTTGTACGAACGTACGCCTTTATTAATGAATCACCCTATATACTTTATTACTGGATGACACTGTATCTACAGCATGATTAATTTTTCCTGTTACTTTAATTAAAAATCAAAACTTTAATCTAGTTAATATGTAAACCTGAGATCTGTACACAGTCCAACAGGAATGTTGAGAAATATTTCGAGAAGTGGGACAACTTGTCAAATTAAAAATGTTCATAAAAAATTAAAACTACCAAATTCTGAAAACATCTGGGGTGTAGCTGTTATTTTTTTTTTTTTCATGTCAATATAAATTGTTATAAAAATTAATGATAGCTAAAAAAATGTTTAGTACTTTATTAATTATTATTAAAAATTGTCCATGGACAAGCAATTTTTTTTCTCCTAAAAGGAAGCAAGATACGAAAAAAATTCGGGAGACCAAAAAGTTGTATTTTTAGTTGTATTATAAAAGTTTTAAAGAGTCAGTGGCGCACATTTTCTTGTCAAAAGTATTGGTTAAAGTACCCGCGGGACGCCACCGTACTTAATAATTTTAATGTAATTAGGGCTAAATTAGCCCCTTTCTACCATAAATAACACTGACATTTCAACAAAATCGGCTAAAGAATTATTAAGATCTTTACGAAAAAACGATTTCTTTTAAAAAGTTTAACACTGCATCTTCAAAACGAAGCATTACTATGTTTAAGTATATAAACTTTTCGTCTTAGAATCACCCAAAGAATCACCGCATGTGCTTAAATAACACCCTGTAAGTACATATCTTTTGGAACATTTAAATAATATATTTTTTTTACTTTTTTACGCCATCTGACAGACTTCCCATCATTTTCAAAATAAAAACTACTCGAACTAATTGATTTACTCAAATTATCGTTATAAAAACAATAATTGCTAGTAAAAACTTATAATTCGAATCAGATAAACATTGATATGTCTGATCATTGAATTGGAGATAAATACCTAGTAAATAATAAATTACTGTAGTGGTTCGAAGATACCAGTATTATGAAATAGTTTCATTCAGGTATTTCCCCATTTGCAGTTGATGTTTATTTCCGCTTTAAAAATACGTATACATCCTAAAATTAGAGGCGCTTATTTAGGTAAAGTTTTCTTTCTCTTAAATATTTGCACCAGTTTCCATTTATAGGACAACGTAATAATTTAATCAGTTTAAAGACAATAACACCTTAAAAACATTTAGTACATATTTGTTATGTAACGTCTATGAAAAGTAAATCTATTTACGTACACTGTTTTTATATTTGTTTATATTAAACATAATTGAAATATCCTCCAAATGTTTCATGTAAAACGAACGGTCTTTTTTTAGAAAACTTTTCGAGGCAACCTCCGACACGCCACAGTGTCGCTGTGGACAGTGGGAACAAAATCAAGAGGGAAGACACGCTGTAAGTACATTTATTTCATTATAATTATTGCATTTTTTATTTATACATATTTATCTTAGACTGCTATTAGTTTTCGCAGTATATTCTAAATATTAACAGATTATCAACAGACAAATTGTAAGAAATCACGACTATTTTACTCGTGTAATCTATATGTACATACAATTTGATGAAAACTGGCTGTCAAGGGATCTTGAAATGAAATCCTTTATTTGCTTTTTTATTTCTCTTATCTCTTCTGCGACAATAAGTAGTACAACTTCATCGAATGCTCGGGTTCGTCGATTATAGTAAATTAAGGGTATCCATACACGAACCGTCTGGTTGTTGAACGAATGTAGTTTGTCCAAACATTTTTCTGGTGTGATAATTTTATTGAATTCACCAAATCTATATTGTTGGTATAGCATGTTTAGGTTTCTTAGAATTGTCTCTTTACTTTCCAGAGAATGGTCCAATTTCCTAATAAAAAACCTATAATTGTGGAACATGTTTTTAATTATTTTTTGTCAATGAGATATCAATAGGTAATAATTTATAGTTTTATGTCGGTACTCATTTCTAAAACATCTAATATCCAAGCTGGCTGAAAAATTTTCAGGTTGGTTGCCAGGTCGTCAACTCATAAATTAAATCTTCTGGGTGTTAATGAACTTCACGTCAAAAATTTAAAGGTGTGAAAAAGGAGCAAAAACTGAATTAATTGATGTTACAACCTTGTATCAGATGTTTAAGGTCATAGAGAAAAAAAACTAATTAAAATTGTGTTTAAAACTGTTTTGGAACTGCTGAAATACATGTATTTTATCCCGGCGAGTACTTACAAAAAATTCTGTAACACTTTTTACAAGTTTGTAGGTTTCTTATGAAGCCAGACCGTATTCGAAAGTCAGTTTGTAATACATTGTTGTAGTGATTACTGTGCTGTTTTGGAGAGTACTTACATTTAATAGCCGTATTTCCAAGTTTTCTTTTGGAAATGGCGCATTTATTTAGCAGTTGCGAATATTATAATATACCTAGTCATAATTTATGGCGAAGCAAACGAAAATGCCCACAGAGCTTGTCAAGTGTATCGTGCAAGATATCCTGAACGACGTGTCCCCGCACCGGGAACATTTGTTGCTGTAGCGCAAAGAGTTTTGGAGACCGGTGAAGTACAACCGCGTAGAGTCTTCAACAAAATCCTCTATCTATTATTACAATTTTGGTATTACTGGACGCCTATCACGTTTCTTTTATCTGCTTTGTACTCCACCACTGCTGATTTCTCTCCCATATTATTAACGTCATATTAATATGTCTTCCTATTTTCCAACATATACTCTATAATACGGATGCTGATTACACTTGGATCTTAGAGTACATCTCTCTTTCAAATCGCCATGGGAAAGGTTCACCCTATTTTCCTCAAAGTATTGTAGACAGTATTAACATTGAGACGGCCTCTTGAAAGCAGTGGCGGTTTTACCACAAGAGCTGCGGAGCTGCAGAACACATAAAATTGTATATACTTAATCATATTAAATATCAACAAAATATTTAAAGAATCCAAATGTACTCGCGCTAAAATAAATCTAGGAGCTTGTATTATTATTTATTACGACGCGAGCTACGCTTCTTAATATATGCAACCTCATATACAAAATGTGTGCACAGCGAACAGTTAGATGCGTCCGTTGTTTTTATTGGCTAATCAGGCACGTGACCCAGTACACTTTTATATGAGCTTATGTGGCTGCAACAATGACAGCCACTGCTGCAGTAAATACAGTAATATTTCGTACGTGGTATGTGGTGGTTTATTTCTGCGAGCGGCTCTTGTAAATATTTTCGTTTAGGCGTCTACGGATATTACAGTTATTAAAATGAATATCGTTTCGTTTTTACAAAAAACTTTATTTGGTTCTCTACCTTATGAGGATAAACTAAAAATAAAAGAATTAGGTGGTCACAATTAAATATTGAAGTTAGTGGAACAAGCCAAAGTAAAAGTTATAAAAGACAATTTAACAATAATGTATACACAAAAGCAGAGTGGGTGTGCGGGTGTGATATAAAAATACACTGTTTTGTTTTCCGTGCTTACTTTTCGGTGGGGACAATATACAGTGTGAAAGATTTAAGTCATTTAAGTCATTAGGTAAAATAAACATAAGAAGTCAGTTAGATTCTGGTTATTGGGATAATATACGGAAACACAATGACTCAGGTAATGAAAAATCGTTATGTATTATCTAAAATCATAGATTGCAAAAAATTTTGCGGAGCTTTCGAATTAGCACTTCGCGGACACGACGAGACAGAAAATTCGGACAACCCTGATGTGTTTCGTGGACTCATAAATTTAAGTGCAGATCTTGACGACATATTAAAAGAACATGTAGCCACATGGGTATGACCGGGATTTTCTGTGATTGTACCGGGAATTAGCTGTATGGTCCCGGATTTCGGATTTGCACGTATAACTCCCGGAATATAATATACGTACATATATATAAAAAATATATAAAGAAAAAATCATAACACAGCGAGGAAAATTAAAATTCGTTGAATCGTTGGTAAACTTCACAAACGATTTTTTTGTTTCTAAACAATATTCAATAATTTAATAAAATATATTTAGTTTATTCCAATTTATTTATACCGTCAGTAGGTAATTCGTGAATAGATATTTCAAAAAGGTATCAATTTCAAAAATCGTTCTTGTGAAAATCTGTATTTTTGTATAAATGGATTGTTCCTTGAAATTCAGAAGTGCCAGGAAAACGCGAGACCTTGAAAATTTTAAAATTAACGCTATATCCTAGAAATCTAAATTACTTTTTAAATGTATCTGAAATCTGAATCTGTATTGGATATCTGAAACGAACCAACTCCATGGTGAAGTATGTATTCCAAAAATGCGTTTCAGAAATCTTTGAGTGTGGTTATATCCATGAGACCACATGCTAAATTTATCGTCAACGTGCCCGAACCAACCACTTTTGTAGTTGCTGGGTCCCAGCATGTAAATCATACCTCATTTCTTATTATTTGTGAAGTTCTTACTCGCACAGTTAAAAGTAAACCTGAACATCGAACCTGTCGTGTGCGGGACCTCTTAGAATGTTAGCTCTGGCAGCGATTCGTTCTAGAGGTAGATAATATCCCCGCTTTATTGACGATTCACCATGAGATTTCTTTAAAAGGAGTATGCACGTTATTATGTGTGATTAACGCCGTAAAAAACCCACGAAATTCCACCGCAAGCAGAAAACGCAAAGCCTGTAATATATGACTTTATGCTCATTTAAAAGGCTTTGCTCTTACATTTTTTTTTAACAAATAACCGCTTCTTTACGTTTCTTTTCTCGAAAGAGCATGAAACGTGGACTTGAACCTTTATGTCAAGATAAATACAGCGTTTTTTGAATAACCGGACTTGCTGTTTCAAGTAATTTTACCGAACGCAACAAATTGTTGTACAGTATTTATATTTTTTGCCAAGTATATGTGTAGGTACTAGTGTGTCTTGCTAGGTATAAAATTGCAAGAAAAAAAAATTAAATATTGCATGCTGTGTATTTAAGTTTATGTTATTATAAGAAACGCCTAAGTATGGTCCCAAATGCGTAGGTTAGATTTAAAATAAAAAATGTCTAGTGCTAATACAGTGTTTCCTCTTATATTTTTTTTTGTTGATGATTTTTTGAGAAAAAGTTATTCTTTACAAAAAGTTTTGCTTATCTTGGGAAGCCATGGACAGTAATCAAATATGTAATAGAACATACAGGGCGTCCAAAATTTTTTGATTTTTTAAATTTTTTTACTCTAATTTCTAAACTAGATGAGATTCCCTTCAAAATGATGGGATTTCAAAAGTTTTTGGACTAATATTGACCGAGTTATAAAGGTAAAACTTAAATATTGTTTAGATTTTCGTCGTTTTTAACATAATAATTATACTTATTATTTTTACAACAAATTGGTTCTTTACTTAATAAAAAATTATTTCAAAAGTTTTATTTGTTAATAATAATTAAAGATATTCACAACTTAAAGCCAAAAAAGTAAAAAAATAAAAAATCTTATTTTTGCTTTTTTTAAATTACTTAGTTTTTGCATAAAATTTTTCTTTCAAATTTTTTAAATAAGCCACTTCGATGGGAAATTCAATTCTCTACAAAATTTTTCCCATGAACTATATCGAAATTTTGCTTTCGTGTTATATTTAAAAAACTGCAGAAGTGCATTTTCACCACTATCTTCAATTTCAACCCTCTAATTTAATAGCACCCCTCAGTTTTTTCATTTTTAATGACCCCTCGAACAAGTCATGTGATGAATATCCTTGAAAACGTCCTATTTCTTTCCTTATTTGCAAAAATTGAGAATTAAAACGTATAAGGGTAAACGTAACGAAAATAGAAAAATTGGCTAATTTTTCCTCTTATTTTGAAGAAAATTTTATCTACTTTTTTTATGAAGCAATGCCTATACTTATCTTTACTCAAAAAAAAACTAGTTAAAAAAGTAAAAAAAATAAAAAAATCGAATTTTTTACTTTTTTTTTCAAATTGTTTTGACTCCCAACGGTAATAATAAAGAATTTTATTGAAAACTAATGTATGGAAAACTTGTATATATAAAGAACGTGTTGACGGTGTAAGTGTTCGTTGGAGAGTGCCTTGTGGTTGAAGTCGGTCGTAGGTATATTCGTAGTTGCTGGTAGAAATCCCTGCTCCTTGGCGCCACTCTGTAGGGGTCGTCTTCCGGGAACCACGTGGTGCGTCCGGCGGCGTTCTTGACGTGCATAAAAATGGGAAATTTTTCTTTTAAATTTTTTAAATAAGCCATTTCTATGGGAAATTCAATTCTCTAAATAATTTTTCCTATGAGCTATAGCGAAATTTTGCTTCGTTTTCAAGCTACAATTAAAAACCTGAGAAGGTGCATTTTCACCTCTATCTCCAATTTCCACCCTCTAATTTAATAGCACTTCGCGGTTTTTTCATCTAAAAT